TGTATGTATGTATGTATGTATGTATGTATGTATGTATGTATGTATGTATGTATGTATGTATGTATGTATGTATGTATGTATGTATGTATGTATGTATGTATGTATGTTACGATCCAAATTACGATGTTAAGATCTTCATTAGGCCTAGTGATCGTGCGTAGAATCTTGAGTTTGACTACCATGGTTGGAACAGCAGTCCCCAGCTTCTAAACATTCCATGCACCATCCTGAAAAGAGAAGTTAACTAATACATCAGCTTTGAAAGAAGTGTTCAAATTATACGGCGTCGCACTTCAGGTATCCTTTTAGAAATGAATGTCTCCTACCCCGAAGTGCCTTTTAATTTAAGAGTTTACCTTATCTCTATCAGCAATTAGTGTTTTCCAAACATGGAGACGGAATCGAGGGAGTTGCATTTTTGGTATTCGATAGAGCCTCGGGAACATAGCAGAGTCATTCCACACTTCTTTTAAAGTAAGAGTGCTCCATATAACCAACCACAGAACCAACCAAATCATCACTGTGCAACATCCAAAATTTTCTGATTTAGTATTTATGCAGCATAAAGAGAACCACTTTAGAGGCAAAATTTCCAATACGGACAAAGAATCAGAAATAACCACCAATACAGTCATGAATAAGAGTACTTTATCATTCTGCCTGAGCAAAGAATATGACACCCTCTCAAATTTTAGAAAAGGCAGCTCATCATAAGAAATTATCCCATCTTCATACTCCTATAGCTCTTACCCCTCTTCTCCCACTTCACCTCCTCTAACCGTTTAACCATAACATGGCTGCAAAAAGTATATTGAGAAATTATTGGCACATTTCCTCCCTCTCCTCATACTCCTCCTATAGCTCTTACCCCACATCTTCAATTTCTCCATCCTCTCTAACCGTCTAATCACAACTTTGCCATAACAATTGGCATTTGGAGAAGGCATATGGAAACCTTGATTCAATCGTTCAAGTTCACCATGATTTACATTGAAATTTATTGTTTCATGAAAAAGGTCCACCATCTGCCCCAAAAAGGCCATAAATATTCCTATTTCTCAAAAGTATAACTTTATAATTCTAGTATGGTACAAATTTTGGAAATAATCAAATATAGCTACATTTTTTTATTTTGTTTGTTAGTGTAAATAATTTTATCGCTATAAACCTGTTTTGCACATTTTTTATCTAAAAACACTGAACATAATGAGAATTATCTTTTAGTTAAACTTGACTTTTTATTTGAGACAAAAATGGGTTTAGAAAGAGGATTCTTTTTATGGGACAAGTGAGTATATGGTACTCCGTACATTTTTTGAAGATAAAAATTTGTTTTATTGAATAAATTCTTCTATGTGAGTAGATCACACGTTTTCCTTGCTGAAATGTTAGTTATTCCATTTTTTGTGCAGAGTTTTATATCTGGCATTGGCAACTGGATTGCAGATGAAGTGTTATATCAGGTGAGCGTGCCTTCTCTCTGCCATCAATTTTAGCTGTAACAATTTGAAGGGATAGAGATCATAGTTTTAAAAATCTATTGAGTTGAGCCTCAAGGTGTAGCTATAAAAATCACCTCAAGGCTCATGTTTTTCTCTTTCAGGTAGAAGCTTATGCCTTAACTCAGTGAGGCTTATGCATTGAGGCATACACCTCTTGAAGTGTATGGGGTTTATACTTCTATTGTTATGCAAAGATGGACCATTTTACATGGCCAAAAGTGGGCTATCTTTTAAATCAGTTAAGCTAAAAAGACTTGCTATTTATTAAAAGATATGGAGTATAGGATTATTTTAGCTAAATAAACAAAAAAATAAAAAAATAAAATACACCACTATAATCATAGCAGTTTATATGGTCTTTCTCTAACCGGCCACTTTCTTTTATTCTCTACTTTAAGCCCTTTTTCTCTACAACTCAACATGTTCCCCTTCTCTATTTTGGTTGAGGCTTTCAAAAGTAGCTACCAACTTTCTCTTTTTGATCATCCTTAATTACTACTGTTTGAAAAGTTTCCTTAAATATTTGATAATAGATTATGAATTTAACAAATTTTTATCGCAATTAAAGCTGTTAAACGTATTGCATAGCCTTATTGTTCACGAGCTTCCCCTCTGTGATTTTAACATACATTATTTTTTTTATAAATGCTTCGGAGTATATATTTTGTAAATGAGGGGACACCTTGGTTCACCCTACCCTAAAGACTTACGTTCCACGAGACTGAAGTACAGCATATCGAGACCCAATTTAGCTTCTTCATTAAACCTTGGTTCAGGTTAAACATCAAACTAAAAGTGATTACAACCACGAACCAGCACTCTAATAGTGTAGTTGACAAATGAAACTCTTGTTCTATGAAGCACAAATGCAATATATATGGGACCCGTATTACGGGTATGGAAAAACATAAATTGCTGTTGCTGTTATTGTTATTACTCCCTCTGTCCCAAAATCATCTTCCCACTTTAATTTTTGGATGTCCCAAAATAATCTTCCCTTTCCTTTTAAGGATAGAATCATAGAAATATTTGATTCATATTATTTCTCTCTTCTTTGCACAAACTTTAACCATACAATATCACTTTTCTTAAACTTCATGCCATTTTCACATTTGAAGTTAATTTTAGGATGCAGGGAGTATTAGTTATACTGAGTAGATGGCTAATTTTGTCCACTTCCTTTTTAAACTGTCCTAATTTATTTTTCAACTTTTCCATCATCTCCGATGGAGTCAAAATTTCACCATTTTTGGCTTTGGGGTGTGATGGAATAAATCAAAATGGATCTCTAAACTATCTGCGCTTCTTTATTTAATGAAGTAGCAGTTAGTCAAACACTGCAACTTTCGATGTTGAGCCGGGGGTCTCTTTGGAAACAGCCTCTCTACTTTCGAGTAGGGGCAAGGTCTGCGTACACACACCCTCCCCAGACCCTACTCTTGTGGGATTTAACTGGGTTGTTGTTGTTGTTGTTTTCATTAAAGGAAAACAAAAACAAGTGACATTGACTTATTTGTTCTCACCTAATACTCCAACTCCCTATGCCCAAAGGAAAGTGGACAAATACACCGAGACACAGGGAGTATTTGTATTAGTTAGTGGGTGGTTTTAGTTATTGTTGTATTGCAGATTTATTATGATTTAAATGGAAAAGTTTCTTCCCAGGACATCTTTCCAAGAATTATTCTCTATCTGTGACACTCTTCTTTCTTTTTTTCAATAATTTATGGGTTTAGCAAAACGAAACACTTTTATTATGAGTATCTGACCTAATTTAATTATCATCAAGCACGTCCTTTCCTTCCTCTTTATCTAGGAGAGGATAGAGATCAATGGCTTTGTTCTTTATTACACTTACTCCAAGGAAAGACCTAATCCTTTAAAAAGAACCTTGTGTCGTGCACCTTATGTGTTCTCTCGTGCCTCCATATTAGAATATCACATTAGGTGTGTTCTGCATGTATCCCTCAACATTCATACTTCTTTAAAAGTTTAAAGTGTGTGCTTCATAGCTGTTGCACTTGCCAATTTTATTTTCTGTTCGTGGGATTGAACTGGGTTGTTGTTTTTGTTGCTGTTGTTGAATAGCTGATTACATCCAAAATATTCTCTCATGCTCTATAAATTCATTTCAACAGGCAAGAATTCATCCGATGCAGATTACTTCAAGCATGTCTAGAGAAAGCTGTGAGCTACTACTCAAGTGCATAAATGAGGTTAATACATGCTTAAGCTGTTTAGTTATTTCTCCTTATCTTTCATTCTCTTTGTACGCGGATAGACATTTGAGGTCATATTCATAGGTTACAGCATTTTCAGTTGATGTTGATGCGGATAGCAGCCGCTTTCCTAGTGAATGGTTATTCCATAGTCGATGGGGCAAAAAGCCGGGAAAAGTGAATGGTGAGATAATTCCACAATTTTATCAGGAGGTTCTTTTTTACAGGTTATTGAAAAAGCTGTTGAAGTAGAAGCTGACAGTGAGCGGTTCCCTAGTAATTGGATTTACCATTCTCGCGAAAAGAAGGGCAAGGCTTTTGTTGATGGTTTGGATTCTGACTCACGCTGCACAAAGCTTTCTTGGGTTATGGCTCATGCTGCACAATTAGTTTTGATAATAGATTTGCTGTTCATGTGTTTGATAATTTCTAGTGGCTGATAGTCTACTTTTATGTGTGCTGCATGTAATCATTATTGAAGTATTTCTTTCATCAGTTTCATGTAGTATCTATGCCTACATTTTCACATTGGTTTTACTTACCTTGCTTACTCGTTTCATTTTTTGTGGAACTTCTTTCTCCCGTCCTACACTAGATAGGCATTTACTCACTCTTTTTAATTTGGATTAATATACATGGTCACCAATTCTTGGTGTACCCAGCTACTTTGCATCAGATCTGATCCAACTTTTATGCTGTGCAGGAAAGAAAATTGATTTTATAGTTGCCGGTGGCAGGGTATGGTTGCTTACTCATCATATGTGGACTTTTCGCTTTGACTGGTATTCCATTTGCTTACTTTGGTTTTTCCTTTTTTTCTTTGTTTGGATTTAACTCAGACAACAGCCTACGTACCTGAGTTACAAAAGCAAAGTGGACCTCAGTCTACTAAAGCTAGTAAAAAGCAGGAAAAATCACCAAAGGGTGATGATGTCAAAGAGACAGAATCTGATGGAAATAGTAGTTCAGATACAAAGGAAACTAGAGCTAAGAAACCCGTAGGAAGAACTAGGGAAGAGGGGCATGGCAACAGAGATGAAGCTACGAAAAAGAAAACTGGTGCAAAGAGAAAGTCTGGTTCTGACGATGTCTCTTTTATTGGGAGTGATAATGAGAATGATAGCGGCACAGCTAAGAAGTCATCAAAACGAACCCAAACTAGAGCGGCCGAGACAGCCACAAAAAAGGCTACACCCGGCCAAAACAGAAAGCAGTCCAAGAAATCAAACTAGTTTGCCATGGTCATCTGTGGTGTTTTTGTCAGTTCAGGTCCTATTTTGCTTTTTAATGTAGTGCCTACTAAATGATAATGCATTTATGCTGACGTCAGGTGTTATCTTCTGGCCAGAAGGGCCTTGAATTGGGCAACTATTTTTTGTACATGCCACAAGGACCTTGAATTGGGTAACCATTTTGGACATGTAGTCATGAACCAGCTGCTAGTAGGATAAGTTATTTGATGTGATGTCCCATTTTGCGCCCTTGATGGCGGCCTTTGGCATCCTAACCCATCAAGAAAACTGTTGCAAACACGTTTGAGGTTATGATATTTGGTATGGGGTGTTTTCTTAATAATTTGATTCATTTTCTCGTGTGAGTTTTTGACTAAAAGACAACAATCCAATTGGATCTCACCCTAGTGTGGGGAGGGTTTGTACAAAGATCTTACTTGAAAATAGAGAGACTATTTCCCAAAGACGTTCCGCTTAGTTTTGACAAAAAGAATGATGTTTAAAAAGTATGAGGTTAGTTATGATATACACTTGTCCCAAAAGTACCTCTTAATTGGGTTTGTCTCAAAGTTTAAGAAAAATGAAATTACGTTGTTGATAAAAAGATGTTGGGTCACACAAAAATTGTCAAAAATAGGAAGATATAGATTGTAGAGTAGGCTAATTTGAAAAAGAGGTACGTGGGGATGAAATGGGGTGGGTTCAAGGAATTGGTTTGATGGATCAATTCACGTTATCTAACAAGCAATATGAATATTGCAATGAATATGCAATATTCAAGCTCGTAAAATCTTACTCCTTAAATCTCAAGTTTCAAAAAGCCACACAAGGACGAAGCTTGACTTTTACTTGGCGTTAGATGACAATTTATACTCCGTATTATACATCTGGTTGTATCTAATTTTGGGTACAATCAAGAAATTATTTATGGTATGAATTTTATTTTACATGAAAAAGAATACTAAGTTATTTGACAATGAGTACTGTTTTGTTTCAGAGTGAACATTACATTATTTATAGATGAATAATATAATTATATTGAACAATGTGTGAAAATGAGTACTGTATTATTTTAAAATGAGTACCACGCTAATTATATTTGTGCGAGAATGAGAACTACTCTACTTCAATATGAGTACTACTTGGATGTACGGTACATTCGATTGTACCATATACCTTCTCGCGTTAGACAGAGTTAGATCGATATATTTACTCGATAATAAAGTTTTGGAAGTTGTTTGTGGATAGAATAAAAATATAAAATCTTACTTTTGCACTCTTACGGTGACTAATTCTTGTATATGTCTAAATCTCAACACTACTAGAATAAGTTGATTTAGCGTGGGGCAAAAACCCTCACAAAAGGCTAAAAGCCGTCGCAAAAGGAAAGTTTGCGTTGCCCTCCGGAGTCGGGGCCATGGCTAATCTGCTCGATGCTAATGGTTAGTGTCGGCCAAACCCTCCCAAATTTGTGTCGGCCATTTATGGAGCCCACGGTAGTGTCGGTTAAGCCCACAATAATTAGTGTTCGCAATCCCCTTGCAATTATGGAGCCCGATTTGTGTCGGTAATGCCGTTGCTAATTTGTGTCGAGATTGCCCTCATAAAATGAAACATCCCAGTATTTGTTTCAACGTCTAGTGTGGAGGAACTCCTTGCTAAAGTTCAAATATAATAGAATATTAGCAAGGGTTTAATCCATGCAATATTTTTTTATAAAATACCAAATTTCATATAAACAATATATTCATATTGAAAGGGATGGGAATTTAAACATATTTTAAAATACACAACATAAACATAATAAATACTTTAATTTCATTCGTCACAAAAATTCATAAAAATCACTAACACTTTAATTTCATGATCCATACTTGAGTAATACGAACAATTCAAAGCTTAGAAAAACTAGTGCAAAGCATAATTTTAATGTCAAAACATTTCATCAAGAGTGAGAACAAATATTTTGCGCCTTATAAAGAAGAACGCCGTTTCGAACCTTGAGAGTCATGAGCACTCTCGTCAGAATGATGATGATGATGGCGCTTTTTTTTATTTTTTTGCACCCTCAATAGCTGCAAGACGTGATACTATCAATTCCATTGACTTCTCCATCTCTGCAATTTTTTCTTCTTGTGCACGACGCTCCTCCTCATGAGCCAAACGCTCCGCTTCTTGAGCATGACGCAACTCTTCAAGCTCTTTTTGTAATCGAACATCATGAGTGCTGAGCTCATCATCACAACACTCTTGAGAAGTGTAGAACACTGTTGCTCCTTCACGCGTAAAATTTGATGACAAATCAGCCGTCCCATAAAGTTTTCCTTTTCTCTTTCCTCCAACTATCTCTTGCCAGATCGCTAATTTCTTACTGCTATTGATATCACTTGTGCCATTTGTAGAACCATCTTCACTTTCAGCAATCTCCTTTATTTTCTTTTGATATGTATTCTGAATTATTAATACGTAAAAATTATATATAATGACACAACATATTTGAATATTTAATATTTATAATGTGTTCTGAAAAAAAGTAGTACTTACATATGTTTCCATAGATCGTGAATCGACCCAACCTCCATCCTTATTCTGGCGAGTGACTAGAAAGGCTTCATCCACTTCCACATGACGTTGTTTCTCTTGACTCTTTAAAATTAAAAAAAACACAAAGAGTAGTGACTACATAAAGTAAAGAAATAAATAATGTGGCGTACTATATATGGATACTTCCCAACGTAACTACGTACCGATAATAAGCCATAGTAAGCCATATAGTGTGGCATAGTATATATGCATACTTCCGAACTACGTACCGATAAAAAGCCTAAAAAATTACGCGAAGAATGCAATATATGGAAATAGATGCTTTTCATTAAGTATTATGTAAATGCTTATCATACCATTTGCTCAATTACATCGAGGTGTGAGACGCGACCAGTGGTGTGCAGTGCTCCCCTTTACCAGAACCTCGATTCTTTGAATTCTGATTAGATATTAATTTATATTTATTTGAAGACCAATACGTTTTCAAGTCATTCCAAGCGGCCTCTCCACACCAGTCCGGCTTTTTGTTCGCAGCTCTAGCATGACGAAGCAAACTAGAAAGTTGCTTTGATCCCCTGTGATTCCAATTTTTGTTCGCTTGAAGATTGGAGTTTGATACAAAGTATTTCATTTGTTAGAAAACGTTTTAAAAATATTTTTGAACTTTTTTTTTACATTTTATGTATCAAGTGTAATTTATGTATCATGTACGAAATGGTTATCTAAGCTAGAATGATACTTAAATGGACACAAATGATGATGCCCTCTGAAGCCGAACATGCCCCACCATTTCTACTAGGTCATTCTTTGAAAAGGTTTATTCAGGAGCTCCTAATTGGCAGCATTCTGCCCGATCCTGAATACTCTAAACTGGTTAAGTTACCACTTTTGATGCATTTTAAAAAAAATTATATTTTTTATTCTTTTCATGGGTATAACTTTTTATTAGTCCCCTTATGCAAAAGTTAGCAAAAAACTTCAATCTTTTACTTTAAATTACACATATACTCTTCTTATTGGCTAAATTTCATAGTTTTGCAAATAAATTAATTTGGACACTAATGTGCTGAAAACAAAATTTGTGTTTAAGTGGATAAACATTAATTTGAAAAATACCTTAAGATCAAACATTTGTAACTGTTCATTTATTTGAAATCCTAGTTAGTTAATGCGCCTATAATATAGTATTATACTTTATAATATGCGTATTATACTCACGTATTCATATGATTTTCAAATATACTTTAAAATACAAGTATATTTGATATTATACGTATAATTACGTATTCTATGTATGAATTGAATATTTTATTATAAATTTTGTTGTACAAAAAATATTAATTTGTTCCAAAAAATATTTAAACAAAATACGAGTAATACTTCATATCAGTTATACATACAATACTCAATCAATTTGAAAAAATGTATACTATTTACATTCTACAAAAAACGACTTTTCTGTCTCAAAAAATCATATTCTTTTTTAGAAAGGAACGAGTAACTCATAACTCTTATTTGTTTTTTCTAAATATATTCAAACAATAAATTTTTAAATAAATAGAGATTCTAATTTGAAAAAATTTATTGTAAGTATTTCATTTAAAAGATTTTTGTATTTTGTTTATTTACCCTAATATAAATTGATGACTATCAATCGCTAAATTTGTGTAAGTTTGATGTATATATGGTGATATATAAACATATAATAAGACGCATTTTAAAAATAGAGAACGTTTAAAACGCGTACTTATCCTTATATGTATGCAGAATGTTTAAAATGCATAGTAAGTCGTATTTTATAAAATCCTAACGTATTATACACGAACGTACGTATTTACGTAATATACATTTGGCGTATATTACGAACTATGTTTGAAAGTCTAAAAAGCCATTGTTCCCCTACTTCAANTTATGAGTTATGACGTCACCATTCGGGCAAGCACTACTATTAGGGTCATAGCATTTTTAACCTCCTTTTCATTATGGAGAGATCCTAGAAGGGAGTTGTCCTCTCCAGTGAGAAGCTTAGGGATATGATAATAGATGATCTTTTGTTGGTGTCCTGTACTCTGTTGGATTCAGCAACTCTATTGATGTCCTCAGTTTGGTAAAGCCAGTCACCCTCCTCATTTTTTTATTTTATGGATTTGTTGCCTCATTCTTGTCATTGACTTTGTCATGGAAGAATGTGGACATCCATAGCTGGAGGGGTTATGGCAGAACATTTTCTTAGAGCTTGTTCTTTTCGTCTGGTCGAATGTAATTATAGTTATATTTAAAGTTGCTTCTAATCTAATTTATTCTGATTTGATATAGTCTGATATAATTCTAATAAGAATAATTAATAAGTAATGAAAATAAGTTGAAGAAAGCAAACTCTTAGTATAGCATCTAGGATGTTACAACTCTCTAAACTAAACTAATAACTATGGAGTATGATCAAATAGCAAAAGATAAAAATTACCGCGTACTTTGCTAAAAGATACTGCCCAACTTAAACTAAGTGGAACTAACACCAATTGTAAAGCTTATTTGATGAACAGTAGAACTAGATAAAGCATTCCATAACCAAAAGTACAAATTACATACAGAGTGTACAGAGTGTAAAGCAAAGGGAATGGACATCAGGAGCTGATTCAGAAGCTATTAGCGAACATGAGAAGGGTGTAAAGCGAAGCCATCTACTTGTGTATAAAGCTAATTGTCTGAATCTAACTTATGCTGTCAATATACAGTTTGGCTCCAGTATTGACGACAAGCAAATGAACCAGCAAATGAAATCAAGAATTTTGCCAGTGTTATGCTGTTTACTCTGAGATATCTCCATATACACCTTCTAACAGTTCAGGTCCCTCCAATCTTTGGGGGCTGCGTTTGTTGAAAATGCAAAAAAAAAAAACAAAGAAAAGTAATGCAATGATTTTCAATGTTCTCGCTAGAAACATAGTAGAAATATTATCACTCCGCATTAGATAAATAAATTTCATGGGAAGTACACACCAAAAGATAGAAAAATCAAGACAACGACAAGAGTTTATTCATGGTGGTGACGTACCTTTTTAAGGGGCAACTTTGAAGTGGATGCTGGTTTTAGTATTTCAAAAGAACATACCAGTTGCTCATCAACACTTAATAGAGCACCTACATTGTCAAACTCTCCACCATAATTTGGAGCAGAAAATATGGTTACGAGCCTTCGCTTAGCAAAGAATTCATATCCATCTTCAACCACCTGCGATTGTGCAATGGTGGTATAAGAAGATTATATTCCGTATTGCATTCATTAAAACATGTCTTATGGCTCAGCAAAACTGCTTTCTGAAAGGTTTGATATATAATCTCGGGTTTGATGAATCCCCAAGAAATAGCATATACTTGATGTTGGCTACTAGGCAACATCAAAATGAACTCTTAACATATTGGTATCATCTTCTAAAACACAGGATTTCATAACAATCAAACGATAGCCCCGTACACAAAGCATGTCTAGGAAAAGGTCCCACCACCAAGGCATGATGCAGGATTGCAATCAAAAGGACATGAGATAATCATCTTTCTATACATACATCTGGTATGAAACAATTGTATACCCCTGATGGGTTATAAACAGAACATATATGTGTGTGGGGGTTAAGAATTCTAGGGTAGTTTCTTAAAGCATGACATGACAGTTTACAGCACATAAAGATGCAAGACTTCATTAGTTCATGCCATACCTGATGACCTCGACAAATGAGGTCCAAATCATTTTTTCTCAAAAACTCTGCTACAGTATCTGCCCCAAAAGTGCACGAAACTCCTCGATCACTCTCTGACCAACCCTTTATTTTGGCATCTGGATCAGACCAGAGCAAATCACATAGCAAACCATTATCTGGAATGTCTGTTGGCCGCTGAATTTCTGATATTTGATCTAAACTGTTTAGCTCTGGGGAAAGCCCTCCATGCATGCAAAGGATCTTTTCGTCAATAAGTGCAGTGACAGGCAAACAATTAAAGCAGTCTGTGAAAATCTTCCAAAGGCGAACATTAAATCTCCTTTTGCATTCATCATAAAATCCATAAATCCTGTTTATTTTTGCATCTTCGTGGTTTCCCCTGAGTAGGAACATTTTGTCCGGATAACGTATTTTGTAAGCCAGTAACAAACAAATTGTCTCTAAACTATGTTTTCCGCGATCAACATAGTCCCCTAGAAAAAGATAGTTAGCTGCAGGCGGATAGCCCCCGTATTCAAAGAGCCTTAATAGATCATGGTATTGGCCATGTATATCACCTGTGGGGAATGGTTATGGGGAAAAAATGAGAGAGGTAAACTTTACCACTTATTTCATGTCAAACACTTTGTATGACAAGAAGTGGTTTCACAAATTTCCTTTTAGCCGGTTGGTTGTTACTCGGCGCAGAAGAAAAAGTATAAGGCTACATTTCCCATAGCTAAGATAGAGAAAAGGAAGAGTGAATGGCCATAAATAGGGGTGAGCATCGGGTCGGTTCGGTCGGTTTCGGCCCAAAACCGAACTAACCAAATAAATTTATTATTCAAAATAACCGACCGAACCGAACCAACCTTGGGTTAAAACCGAACAAACCGAAACCAATAATAACCGAACCGAAACCAAAAATAACCGAACCGACCTTGAATTTTAATCTAATTATGAAATAATAAAAAATAAAAGTAAACTATAGTTAAAAAAATGCAAGATGCATATTTAAGGCATCTATTTTTTAAATATGTACAGATTTAACTTATAAAAAATTAATATTTACTAAAGGTAGATTTTATTAGTAAAAGGTTTATTTAACACTTTAATTTGTAAAATAATTAATAAAAAAACAGAACTAAGGATTAATTAAAAAAGAGGAATAAAGGGATGAATATGGAAAAATAGGTATTTTGGAAATAGAAGGAATAATGATTAAAATGACATATTTGGGCTCAATTCACTTATTTGGACTTAAAAATTGGTAATATTAATTTAATAAACATTAGGGGTGAATATGGATTTCGGTTATTCGGTTAACCGAACTAACCGAATTAAAGAACCAAAAACCGACCGAACCAACCGAAAAACCGATAATTTGAGAATAGGTAACCGAAACCGAAACCGAAAAATCGATTATTTCGATTTTCGGTTTCACGGTCGGTCCGGTTATTTTGCTCACACCTAGCCATAAAAATGTTTCGGGGAAGGGGAAACATATATATGTGATTGTAAACAACAAAAACTACAACAATAACACACTTCTAGATTTCTTGGACTTCTTTTCATGCATTTCGTTAACAATGAACTTTTCACATTGAAAACACATGGTATAATATTTTAATTATTAGCCTGGTATATGTATCAATAAACTGGTTGAGGTGTTGAGTCCCTGGAACCATTTCCGAGGCCTCCTTATGTGAGACCCCTTCATGGATGAGACTGCCTTATCCCATTTGGTAGGTGTCTTTACCATAGACACTGGCATTATTATACGTTTTCTAACAAAAAAATTTGATGATCCCATTTTACCTTTCCTGAAATAAATTTCCAGCTTCTCCAGATAAATTTCAAATAACAAACAAACAAGCACAAAAAAAACAAGGGATTCATACCACAGATCCTGATGGGGGCACGCAGTTGAAGGAGGGTAGGCTCAGAGAGAAAGATCTGGCGAGCGTTGACGCAAATCTGCCGGATCTCAGCCTCGGAGAGCTGAACCTGTTTTTCTCCCTTGCCTTCCAATAGCCTCCTGATAATATCATCCAATACCCCTTTATCCATCACGCTCTCCATTGTCATCATATTCATGTGTTCCTTGCCGATCAATATTTTTATTTTGCCGGATCTTCAATTAAAAATAATGATCTCAATATGATCGACTAGAAACACCAAAAATCCAGCAAAGGTGAAATTTTCAGGAATGGGGTGCGTGGGTATGGAATTGGTTTTGTGGATGGAGATGAAGATCAATAGGGATGGGAATGGTGTCCATTTTCCCAGACTATTGTCAAAGAATTAAAGATATTTGACGATGAATCTCTACGGTAAGAATCATTCAGAAAAAATAAAAAAATAAAAACAAGTACAGGGACCAAATGGGTGGGGAGAGGAGGCGGGAGGAGGGCTTTTAAGGAAGTTGACTGAAAGAAGTGGGGGCCACACGATTCTTCTCCCTTCTCAGCCTTCTTTTCTTTGATTGACAAAATTACGTTCTATGGGTGGAATTTGAAAGGCAAATATTAAGTGATATAAGGTAAATGTTTATTTTATTAATCATAAGGTATTGATACCTAAAAAAGATTAGATTTTTATAAAAATTGAAAAAAATATCTTTGTTACCTTATAAAAGTTATGAGAAAGTCTATATTTTACATGCAGGATTATTACTACAATAGGGTAACTCATTTGTAAAGGTGTGTTTTTTAAATATTATTCAAAAAAAATCTCATTTTTATATTGTATTTAGAAAAATAAATACAATGTTCAACGTGAAACACAATGATCTCACCTTTATTCAAATGCATGCATTGTGAATCACTGTTAAGCTCAGGGCAAATCCAAGATTGTAAATGGCTGGGGTCAAGATTATAAGGCGGGGTTCGGGGGCTATGCCCCTAGATTTTTTTAAAGATATTTTTAAATTATGATGACTTTGATTTAATTTTGTATCAAACAAGTTTAAAATAAGTAAAACAAAATATTTCAAAAGTAGCAAAACGTTATGTTAGCCTTGGTTTGCTAAGAATCATGTTTTGATGTTAACAAACAATATACAAGCTTGACGTTCGTTTAAGTATTTCAGGTACAACTAGAATCCATTAAGATTCGGTACTCAAGAATGAAGTCGAAACACCAAACTAGCGTAGAATATAGGTAGAAACCAATGTAAGGATATGATTTTATATACCTATATTCACAAGCTCAAAAACACTCACAAAATATGTTTAAAACCCTTTTATAATCATTTTCAAACATCCAAAAGGTTTTAAACAAAATTGGAAATGATTTAGACAAAAATGAAAAAATTGTCAAAATGGTCATAAGGTACCTAGGTACCGTGAGGGGTACCGTAAGGGGTATCGTGAGTTAGCCTGAGACGGGACCCCCCTACCGTAGCACGGGACCCCCCTACCGTAAAAGGTACCGTAAGGATAGGTACCGCCAAAGAGTTTTGGCCTGAGAAGGTACCTAGCTACCGTACGGGACCTAGCTACCGTGACAGGGTACCGTTACCGTTGGAACACTATTCCCGATTGATGATTTTTGAATTAATTCAACTCTAATCACCTCCTAACGGCTAATTAACATCTTCCACTATAAATATAGGCCTAATACTTCATATTTTTACAAGAAACAAAGCTCTAAACATCCTCTCTTTTTATTCTAAGTGTTTCATCCTTTTATCAATTATTTTCAATATTTTGGCTATTTCAAGAGCCTTAAATTCCTGAATTTTATACACACACTTTGAGCTTGTGTTTCTAGTTATATACTCTCATATTCATAAGTTTGTATTGTATTTTTGAGAGAGTATAATTTCCTTCTACACCGGCTAAGTTTTGTTCTTCATTTTTATATTCTAGCCGTTGTGTAGAATCCTATTTTGTGTTCTTCAAACGCACCTTCTTACGGTCGAAAATAGACGTTAAATTCTCACATTGTAACAGTCAAGGATAGCCGTATAAATCCTTGGGTAAAGGTTCAAGGATAGCCTTTGAAATCTTTGGGGGAGCGGTAGAAGATAGCCGTTAAATCTTCATTGTAAACGGTTCGAGATAACCGTGGTGAAATCTCGGAGTGAATCCTATTGGCAAGGGTTGTTTGCCAAACTAGTGCGGTGCTTTGACGGAGTTCAAGAGGTCGGAACTTAGTGGATTCGGAAATCCTTGAGGAGGAGCCTCGAGGTACTGGAGTAGGAAGTTCCCGAACTAGTATAAAAATGGTGTGCATTTTATTTACGCTTTTATTTCTGCATTTTATATATTGCTTCCGCATTTGCCAACACCGTTTTTATCAAACTCCGAAAAGATTTTCAAACGCCTTATTCACCCCCCCTCTAAGGCGTGAGCACAACGACTAAACCGACTAACACGTTATACAAATTATGTATAACGAAGTATATTTAATATCACTAGAGGATTGCAAATACTTCACTTTATATTCTACTTAAAATGCAACAAATTTTTTATTAATCCATAACAAAAAATTGATATAAATTAAGAAGGAAGTAATTTTTGCCTTTTTGGACTACTTTTGGGGTTGGCTTTAGACAATTAGCTGGGTATTTTATTTACTAGACTGGTTCACTGGGGAGAGTCTTTAATTAATTTTTAACGAGGGGTAGTATACTTAAAACTAAAAAAAATAAAAGAGAATTTGGACTGGGGGCAGCTGGCCCCATAGTCAACAAGGTGGATCCGCACCGGGTTAAGCTAGCGGGGGGACCTAGAAAACTTTTTGCAGTGGTTCAAAAAAATTAAAGATATAGTATAACAAAAAAGAGGTAAATATAATAAATTTTAAGTCATGTGGAGACTAGAGTAACTCAAGAAGTCATATTTAACAGCATTGCAATATCAACATTCTAAGCTTCTTTGCTTAAAAATATACCAAAAAATGTTAAATTTAGTATATATTAAATCATAAATCAAAAAGTCACATTACACAAGTATTACAATATTGTCTTTCGAGGCTTCATTGCTTCAAAATGTTACATGACTAGTATTAACCTCGTGCTTCGCACGGGCTCACATATATTTTAATATTTGACATCTAAAAAATAAAATGCTATTTATTTTAAATTCTTTATTAATGATATATAAAGTTTATAAAAATATACTCCGTAATAAAAATTAATATGCATTTGTGGCATCACTTGTGATATCACATATGGCATGGTGTGCACACGTGTCGTGAAAAGGTTTATACAAACTAAATCATCAATGAAAAAAATAATAAAGAAATAATTTTCAATTAAAAATTTAAAATAACAAATTTAAAATGAATCAATTAAGTAATGACACATAATAAGAAAATACATATATGACATACAGCGCGTATCATCTTTCAACTCTAACTTTGTTTTGTTTAGTTTGTTTAAAAAAATATGCACCATATACTTAAATAGACTTCGTAGTATGTAATAGGATAAGAAGTTTGAAATAATTTTGTATTTAATAAATATTTATATGTGATAAAAATGTTAGAATACTACTTTGAAAATTTAATAACAATAAATGTACTTTTTGCTCAATAATAAAGGGTTATTTAGTGTAAAAAACTGAAAGGTTTATAAAACTTTAATAAAAATAAAATTTATTTAATATACGAATGTGAAGATTTTTCATGAAAATTTAATAATAATAAATATATACATGTGGCATGACACACACTGATGCGTAATGCACACGCGGCATAAAATTTTTATACAAATGCAATGTTCATCAAATAAAACAATAATGACTTTTTTTTAATTAAAAATAATTAAAATAAAAATGTCAAATAAATCAATTAAGTAATGACACATCATTAGAGAATGCATATCTGTCATGCCTCATGTAATCCTTCAATTAAACTTTCACTTTGTTTAGTTTGCTAAAAAAATATATAATAAAATAAATAATAATGTAATAAGAAAAAAATTGAAATATGTAATGAAGTTTATAAAGATGATGCATGTGTGATAAATTTTATTTATAATAGTTTCTTTTGAGTTGATGGATAATTTTTAAAAATATAAGAAACATTGTTTTTTTAATTAATAAATTTTATATATTTTTTTTAATATTATAAAATAGTCAAACATATTTAAAAAGTATTTCTAAAATAGTTAGAAAGAGAAAATTTTATAAAAAAGAATAAAAATAAGGGTTTTTATTGTTGGAAAGTGAAGGGTTTATAAAATATAATAAAAATCATTATTAGGTATATAAAATCATTTAGAAAATTTTATAAAAAAAGAATAAAAATAAGGGTTTTTATTTAAAACCTTTTGGGTGTTTGAAAATCATTATAAGAAGGTTTTAAGCATATTGTGTGAGTATATTTGGGCTTGTGAATATAGGTATATAAAATCATATCCTTACATTTGTTTCTACCTATATTCTATGGTAGTTTAGTGTTTCGACTTCATTGTATCATAATAGACATAATCATATCAAACATAACCAAACATGATCAAACATCAGCCTAGCGCTGGGTGTGAACACTCATGCTTAACACCATGCAACATAAAAAGTCTCGTAATAAATCCTTGACACGAAAATAGGTTCAAAAATAATATAATGGTATGAGATAGATAGTACAATACCTAGTCCAGTACCTTGAACCGGTACGGTACCTCGGTAACGTCCAGGAGGTACCTAGTATTGACTGGGACAGAGTCTGCCAACACCAGATGGCCTGTGGCAGTAGCTAGTTACCATCCTGGCGGTAAGGCCAACCATCCGTCCGGTACCTAGGGACCGAATAGTCGTAGGTTCCACAAGTGCAGAATGGTCTGTGGCGGTAGCACGGTACTGGCCTACCGTTTGACATAAAAACCTGTTTCATCACCAATCAAACCCCATCAACAATCCAATACCAACTTCATACAACTCAATACATATATGTTCATAATTCAATTCCCAAATAATAACCAACCTTGCCCTAATGGTAATCACATCTATTCATGTGTTCTACCCAACAAATTGATCATAAACCAATGAACTATGACATGTGCGTTTCACGAGAATCAACTGTAATAATTCTACAAATGTATGATTCAAACCCACATATATAACCAAATTTACATACGAAGATTAACTACAACAAACGATTCTAACAAACAACGGTGATGGCACGACTTCTCCTCTTCTTCCTTCTTTATTCTCTTGTTCTTCTTCCTCCTTCTCTTCTTCCTTCTCCTGTGCACCGTTGCTGTATGTGTCGATCAGAAACAAAGAGAGGGGGGGCGTTACGTAAATATGAGGTGGCAACTAGGGGTTTAGGCGTGCTAGGGTTAATACATACTTATAGAGTTTTGCACCTCGTAATTAAATAACATAACTCAACTAAAACATACTTTTCAGGCTAACTTGCTCTCTAGCTTATACCTCGAAAATAGAAGGATCCAAAAATAAGTGATTTACAAAGTTTGTCAATTGATTGTGAAAATTATATCATTGTGTAGAGTTTGAAAGTCACATCGCAATGGTGCAACCGGAATTTAATTAGGACAAAGTTGGAAAAAGAAATGTACCTCGATTGGGACCAAATTAGTCCGAATCAGGGAGAGTTGGAAGAATC